GAAATTGGGGAGGGCGGGGAAGAGAGTAGTGCGCAGGCTCGAAGAGCCGTGGGCTTCGATGGACGCCGGGAGATGAAGTCCTCAATAGCATAAAAGACTAGCGAGACGAGCTACAAATGACTACGAATCCCAGCAGGAACCGCGCACGTCTCTAGTATCGCGAGGTTCCAGAGGAAGCCGCCTGGGGGCGCAGGGCAGCGAGATACCAACGGAAGCGGAAGGCAAGCGCGGAGTTCGGGCCAGGGAACCTGGGAAATATAGTCGTGAGCTCACTAGATCTAGGAGCTGAGTTAGGGCGGGGACGGGGACCAGACGGTGGGATCCCTCCCAGCTGCTCCCTTGACACCGTTTCCTTTGAGTTCAGGTGTGAGGGCCGCGTTGCCCGCCCAGGCGGCTGACACCATTCCGGACCAACGCACTGGTCGCCTGTAAGGCTCGGTACAGGAGCCCCCCGACTGGTAGGTACCCTGTTCCACCCAGTATCTGGCCTGAGGCGGGAGGGTGCGATGGGCTCCGTGCTGAGGGACTTGGGTCCGGCGTTCTGGGGCTTGAGGTGAGCCGAGTGGTGGGAAAACTGATCCAGCGCACTAACCTGAGGTGGCTCAAGCCATTCTGCTGGAATTCAGCGTCCCTTTCATTTCTCCTTTTCCTTTTAGGGCTTGGAGTGGTTTTGCTGCGGGCTCTAAATATGTTCTTCGAACCCTGGTCAGAGGAATGCTGAGGGGCACCGGGACGTTATTTCAATTCACAGCTTCTTGGCATTATCCAGGTTTCCTTCTGCTTCCTCAGGGCCTTTCTTAGCCCGGAGCGTGGGTTTGAAGCCTCAGAAAATGAGCGTGGAGCGGGGCGCCACTTGGAGGGCGGTGAAGGGCATTGTGGGGCGCTCTGTAAAAGGAGGACCCCAACCGACGGGACGCATGTTCCTGGGACCTTGAGCTGCCCCCAGCACGCGATGCTTTGCGCGAATACTGGAAAGGGGCAGGAAATCGAACCTTGGGAGCGGTTTTATGTTGTTGCCATGTTTGTGTCGTGCCATATAATTGATTGTGTCAACTCTTTAGATTGGAATATCGCGATTTTGCGGTATGGAAGCTACAGAGCAACAGGCGCCTTTTCCAGAGAAACGTCTTGTTTTTATTTGAGAAGAGGGAACTTCCAAAATAGGATCGGGGAAAATCTAAAGGGCAAGGTTGACTTTTCTTAATGGTATGTATTACGGGATGGGAATGTGTTCAGAGGGAGCCGGGCATTATTTGTGGGCGAGAGGATAGTGGGGTGCAACGCAGGACCTCTAGTCAGATGTCTTGTGGAATTAGTATACCTTTTCTTTCTTAGTTTTCTTTTTCTTCCCTTCTTCTCCCTCTTGGGGTTCTGGGGATGAAACCAAAGCCCTTGCATGCTAGGCAAGTGCCCTACCACTGAGCTGCATCTCTAGCTCTTCAAAGTTTTCTTTGTTAACCTTTACTGAGGGGCAGGGTTTGTTCTAGGCTTATGTGTTTTTACACGGGATCCATGGTTTGTTCTAAGATACGTCACTTTGGGGCAGGAGTGTTTTTTATTCTAAAGCTAATTTTCCTCATTCCGGGAGGCCCCTGGAGGTGGTACTAGTCACCACAGAGGCCATGGTAGTGGCTGAGGGTTGCTTGTCTCATCCTTACCTAACCTTTATTTTCTCATTTCCTCCAAAAGCCATGTCCAGGCCATTGCTCATTACGTTCACCCCAGCTACTAACCCCAGTGACCTCTGGAAGGATGGGCAGCAACAGCCCCAACCTGAGGAGCCAGAGCCAGTCCTGGATGGGGCTGCAGCCCGGGCTTTCTATGAGGCCCTGATTGCAGATGAGAGCACTGCCTCCAAACCCCAGCAAGTTCAGCCTGTGCCTGCCCAGAAGAGGAAGAAAAGGAGAGTGATGAGGGAAACAACAGCAGAAGCAGAAACACCAGAAAGACATGGACAGGAGAGATCCCTTGCAGAAGAGGACAAGATGACCCAGTGGATACTGAAGGCAGCCCAGGAGGGGAACGTAGCAGAACTTCGAAGGCTTTTGGAGCCCCATGAGCCAGGGGGAGCCGGAGGGAATATCAATGCTCGGGATGCTTTCTGGTGGACCCCCTTGATGTGTGCTGCCCGAGCGGGCCAGGAGGCCGCTGTACGCTATCTCCTAGGCCGGGGGGCTGCCTGGGTGGGGGTCTGCGAGCTGGGTGGCAGAGATGCTGCTCAGCTGGCTGAAGAAGCAGGTTTCCCTGAGGTGGCCCGCATGGTCAGGGAGAGCCACGGAGAGACTAGGCGCCCAGAGAACCGGTAAGGTGGGGAACCTTAATCCATACCTGTCTTTCAGGGTGTTCTGCTTTTCCTGGCTGACCCCCATCAGGAATAGCCCCCAGAACAGCTACAGGACTCTCTTCATTCTCCAGTGTTATGGTAGCAAAGTAGAGTGGTTACGGACATGAGCTCCTGGGATTTATATCCTGATTCACTAACCTGGCACCAACTTTATGTCTGTGTCTCAGTTTCCTTTTCTGAGAAACAGGGATAATTAATTCCTTCCTCATGGGCCAGTTTATAAGATTTAATGAGTTGGTGTATTTGAGTGCTAGAACAGCCGTAGTCATTATTTATTCCACACTTGTCCATGAGCTTGTGAGGCTCCTGTCTTGGTTTCTTTTCTCTAGTTGCTGAGACAAAACACCTGACACTGGGGAAAGGTTTAGCTCACAGTTCACAAAGGTTTCAGTCCTTAACCAGCTGGCTCCAAGGCAGAGTGGCACATGGCAGAGGGGTGTTAGAGAGGAAAAACAGTTCATGGCACCCACATGGTAGCAAAGGCAGCAAGGGACCTTAACAACCTTTTCCTGCCCCTTTTATTCAGACTTCTTAGGGTGGGAAGCACTTACACCCTTAACCCTAGAGCCCTTGAGCCTAGCCTTACACCATAAATCATTCACACACACTGAATTCCAGTATCTTTGACAAAGCTCTATGTAGTGCTGGGGATTTAGCTCAGTAGCACTGTGCCTGCCTTGCAGCCCCAAAGTCCTGAGTTCCATCCCCAGTACTGGGAAAAGAAAGCTCTATCTAAGACTTCATCAGGCTTTGGGGGGACAGCTAGACCCAAGCCATAAGTTACCAACACTCTTCCCATTGTTCTCCTTTGCACCCCTTAAGGATAGTGGGGAGGGCTGGGAGTGTAGCTCAGTGGTGGAGAGCTTGCTTACCATGCAATAGGCTGTGGGTTAATTGTTTTTGTTTTAGTTTTGAGACACAGAGTGTGGCTGTGTAGTCTAGACTGGCTTTGAACTCACTTTGTTACCCAGGTTGGCCTCTGCCTCAAGCCTTTTAGGTGCTGGGATTATAGGCGTGGGCCACTATGCCTGGCTAGACCATGGGTTAGATCAGTAGCACCAAAAAAAAAAAGGTGAAGCTGAGTTTGGCAGTTTGTTCTATAGCAGAAAAGCTGTGCCCTTCCCTGCCAGCCCCTTCTGAGGCCTCAATTCTCCCTTTCTCTGCCCTTAACCTTTTTCTTTTCTTTGCAGGCCCTTCTCCCCCACGCCCCAGTATTGTGAGACCTGTGACACCTACTTTAAAGACTCCAACCACAGTACATCCACTGCTCACCTGCTGTCACTAGCCAGGGGTCCCCTGCCTCCTAACCATCCCCTTGGGGTGCCCACATCCAGCCCTGGCTTCAAGCTGCTGCTGAAGGGAGGCTGGGAGCCGGGAATGGGGCTGGGGCCCCGGGGTGAAGGCTGTGCCAACCCTGTTCCCACTGTCCTCAAGAGGGATCAGGAAGGACTGGGCTACAGACCAGCACCGAAGCCTCGAGTCACACACTTCCCAGCTCGGGATCCCCGGGCTGTGTCTGGGAAGGAGAGAGCCCTTCGGGTGGCCACACTGAGCTGGAGGGAGAACAGAAGGCAGGAGGAAAAGGACAGGGCCTGGGAGCGGGATCTCAGGACATACATGAATCTTGAATTCTGACTTTGTGAAGTTTGACCCTGGTGTGCTACTGAGCTCTGAACTTGGACTTCTGATGTGGGCACTTTGATTTCTACTTCCTGGAATTACCCATCTACCAAACCCGATACTGACAGATGAGAAATCAACCTTCTCCTTCTCTGTAGTTCATTTACTTTTCTGGAAACTGTTGTGTTGAATTGGGTCTTTATATTTGTGGGGGGCTCATAGTTTTGAGTTCTTTATATATTCTAGATAATAGTCCTTTGTCTGAGGAGCAGCTGGTAAAAATTTTTTCCCACATTGTAGATTGTCTCCTAGTTGTGTTGATGGTTTCTTTTGCAGTGCAGAAGCTTTTTAATAAGATGAGATCCCAGTTATTGATTTTTTTCTGCTACTTATCATGCTTCTGAGGGTTTGTTTATAAAGTCTTTTCCTATGCCAGTGTCTTCAAGAGTGCCTAACTTATCTTCCAGCAAGTTTAATGTTTCTGTTTTAATGTTTAGATCTTTAATCCACTTAGATTTTAATTTAGTGCATGGTGAAAGATAAGGGTCTAGTTTTAATCTTTGGCAGGTTGAGATCCTGTTTTTGCAACACCATTTATTACAGAGGCTATCTTTCCCCCAGTGGGGATGGTCAGTTCCTTTGTCAAAGATGAGGTAGTTGAGTACATCTGGAGTTGTTTTTGTAATCAATGTACTATTTAAACATGTGTGTCTGATTTATTTCATTTTATTTTACAGGTGCATCCATTTATCTAAAAATGACTCAAGTTTATCCTTCTTTATGGCAGAGTAGTACTCCATTGTATATAAATACCACATTTTCTTTATCCATTCATGTGTTGTTGGGTATATGGGCTGTTTCCAAGATTTATGTATCATAAATTATATGCTGTTATAAACATAGGTGTGCATATATTACTATGGTACATTACTTTTCACACTCTCAGGAGGATACTAAGAAGGGAAATAGCTAGGTTAAATGGAACCTCTAGTTTCAGTTTTTTCAGGAATCTATAGGGACTTCCATAGTGGTTTTACCAGCACACATTCTCAACAAAAATGGGGAAGGGCTCCATTCTTCCAGTAGCCTTGCCAGCATTTGTTATTGGTTGATTTCTTGACAATTGACATTTTTTTCTGGAGTGAGATGGAATCTCAGTGTTTTAATTGGCATTTCTTTAATAACAAGTTAGGTTGAACTTTTCTTTTTTCATTTTTTTTTTTTTGGTGTTTGTATATCTTCATCTGAGAAGTGTCTATTTGTTTCTCATGCCCATTTTTGGATTGAGCCTTTAAATTTTGGGCTTATGATTTTTTTGGATTTCTTTCTATATTCCAGATGTTAGTCTGTTGTCTAAAGGGTGACTGGTAAAAATTATTTTTTTACCATTCTGTGTTTTGGCGCTTCACTCTGTTGGTGATTCCTTTTGCTGTGCAAAGATTTTTAATTTGATGTGAACACTGGTGTTGATTCTTTGTAATACTTCCTGTGCAAATGGGATTTTGTTGATGAATTGTTTGCCTACTCTCCTGCCATTGAGAGTTCTACCTATTCTATGTTCCAGCAGATTTAGTGTTTCTGTTTTTATATTTAGACCTTTGATCCATTTCAATTTCAGTTTAGTGCATAGTGAGATATAGGGGTGTAAGCTTAATCTTTGGCATGTGGAAAGCCAGTTCTCCAGGCACCACTTATTAAAGGGGCTATCTTTCTTCCAGTGAAGCTGTTTGGTTCCCTTGGCAGAGATAATGAAGCTGAGTGTGCCTGGAATTGTTTCTGCATCTTGTTGTCTGTTCTATTGATCCTTAGATCTTTGTCTTTGCCAGTATGATGCTGTTTTTTTTCTTGGGAGGTGGGTTGAGACAGGGTCCCCCTATGTAGTTAAGACTGACCTGGAACTCACTATGTAGCCCAGGCTGGTCTCAAATTCACAGTGATCCTCCTGCCTCAGCTACCAAGTGCTGGGATTACAGGTGTGCGCCACCACGCCCAGCCTCTTCCTCTTCTTCTGTTTCTCTATTTTTCCCCTCGACTTCTTTTAAATTTTCTCTCCTGAGGGTAAAATCACCACTTGAGGGCATGTTTAGTGTATACAATTTTCTAGTTTGTTTTAGATTTTGTTATACAACCACAAATATAGTTCATATGGTTAAAGGTAACAAATTAATGCTTACCACAGTTTGTCATTTTCTAAGCTGTGTTTTTTGCTGTGATAACCAACCTGACTCCATTTTGAGCCTCAGTGTCACCCTGACTCCATTTTGAGCCTCAACCTGTACTTGGACAAAGTGCTTGTGCTTGGACAAAGTACCCAAAACTCACATCCTGCTTGGCAGTAAACTTGCTGCAGTTTCAGGCTGTTCTGTAGATCATAGTGTGTGAAACTTCCTTGTGCTGCTCCCCCCTCTCACCAACCTGGCATGGTTCTGCTTCTGTAAGATTCTGCATGCTCTCCCCTGAGCCCTCCCCAACTGAAAGCATGATTTAAAAGGAGAAGTCAAACCACTTCCCATTGCTGAGAGAACTTTCTGGGCAGTAGCCCCCCTCAGCCACCAGCTTTAATAAATGGACTCAATCTAGCATAGAGTGTGGCACATCTCTATTATTCAAATTCCCTCATCCATAACAATGCTATTGTTATTCCTGCTTGTACTACTTTAGCCAAGTTGACATGATTGTTCTAATCAATTGTTCTTTCTGGTATGCCAAGACAGATTGCTTAAGGGTCATAAACACTATAGGCCAGTGCCAAAGAACCAGGGGCTGGGCCAAATACGCAGCAACTTCTCATCCTCAATACATTGAAGAGCTAGGATCTTGCACCAGACTCAAAACCCAAAAGCCAGGTACACCTGGAAGATATCTCTGAGAAGTAGTCATTTCCTAAGGGTTTTAAATACTAGCAATACCTTCTGGGAAGATGGAGTGGTGAACAACAGAGAAAGTACCTCTGTAGGATTTCGTGTCCTGACAGTGGACCATAGCAGCTTGGGGAAGAGAAGGAGGAGGGAAGTGTGTTCCTAGGAAGGGTATGAAGCAAGAATTGAAGTCCACAGGGAAAGGCAAAGAGAGAGACCTCAATGAAAAAGAGGGAGATAGCACGTGATGGATGCTTTGTCCCAGAGTCTGGATTCATGATTTGGGAAGGGCAGGTCAAACTTTGCAGACACACAGTGACTACTGGTGACCCCAGAGGCCTCCGTAGAGAAAAGCACAAGTGGAGTGGAGCAGTGGATGCAGCAGCGGTTGGTGAGTTATCTGGGTTCGGACATCATTCAGTAGAGGGTGACTGCCCAGTAGCAATCTTGGAGAAAGGCCACCTGAGCTCAGAACACAGCACAGCTACAGGTTGGCTCCATCTAGTAGCTCCTGGTGTCTCCGTGAGGGTGCTGAGTCCAAGTCAGCAGGAGGTCAGGGAGCTGAGTTCAAGATGGCAGGAGGCACATGGTCTGTGACAGACTCAACAAATCTGACTCCAGCCTCATAGCTAAATACTAGCAATAAAGTTACCTGCCATGCAATTTACAAGCATCAACCTAGGAACTAAACTAAAAAAATATAAACAGTGGGAAGACACTTAAGCAAGATGCAGCCCTGCATTTCCAGCTCAGCAAAGGCAAACCTAAGGTTAGGCAATGAGGCGGGACAGTTTGAAAGTCACCACCTGGACTTCAGTGTTAACAGCCGAAGTAACAGCAGATGAATGAGGCTCTAGAAAAAAATCAAGTAATTTCTCAGTTCAGCAAAGGCAAACCTAAGGTTAGGCAATGAGGCGGGACAGTTTGAAAGTCACCACCTGGACTCTGAAGTGTTAACAGCCGAAGTAACAGCAGATGAATGAGACTCTAGAAAAAAATCAAGTAATTTCTCAGATAACCAGAGAGAGAATGACCATCATGAAGGATATGGTTAGTGACTCTAGAGCAGATACAGGAAAAAAAGAAATAGAGGAGCTTAGGAAAATGATGGAAACCATGAACATCCAACATAGGTAAGAAATGGGATCCATGAGATGAAAAAATGCCACGGAAAGTACACACAACAGAATGAGCCAATATGAGGGCAGGCTACCAGATACAGAAGAGAGGATTGCAGCTAGTGATCATGAGAAGAAAGACTTCTTAAAACTCGCAAGGGATCACGAAAAATCCAACAGCTGCTAGAGGAAGCAAATAAGAATAACATAAAATTGATCAGACGGTATTTAGCTCAGTGGCTCAGCACCTTCCTTGCAAGCACAAGGTCCTGAGTTTGATCCCCGGTACGAAAAAAAATTAATCAGAGTCAATGAAAAAGCAAGAGATGCCACAAATGACATAAAAGTCCTGTTCACAGATATAATGGCAGAAAATTTCCCACGCATGGAAAAAGAATTTGACATACAGATAAATGAGGCATATAGAACTCCAATTAGTCATGATCAAAAAAACTACACTAGGGCTGGGGATTTAGCTCAGTGATGCTGCTGCCCGCCTTGTTAAGCACAAGGTCCCAAGTTTGATCCCTGGTACAAAAAACAAAACTACACCAAGGCATATAATAGTCAAGATTCCAGAAAGTCATCAGAAGAACAGAGTATTAAAAGCTGTTAGCCCATTAAAAAGAAAAAAAAAAGCTGTTAGCCCAAATACCCATCAACAGATGAATGGATAAAGAAGATATAATTTTTTATACACTGGAATACTCCTCTGCTACAAAGAAGCAAGAGCTTGAGACATTTATAGCTAACTGGATGCACCTTGAGATGATACTCTTAAGTGAAATAAATGGGATACACAGGTTTAAATACTGCATTGTGTGAGAAACTGGAAGTGGCAATAACTAAAATATCATAGATATTGGGAAATGAGAAGAAAATATTCAAATGGGAAAGGAAACAAGGGAGGAAGGGAGGTGAAGTCAGAAAGGAAAGAAGGGACAAGAAAAAAAGTAAAGCCAGAAGGAAACATGGGAACAAAGCTTTTACACATAGGGAGAGAGAAGGCTGAGGGGAGGGACCAGTGGGGGGAAAAAGGCAGGATATATCATGTACAGGTGCAGATTACCTATGATGAGTGTTATTATGTATATCCAAAATGTACCAATAAATGTTTTGCTTAAAAAAAAAAGCTGTTAGAAACCAAGCATGGTGGTGCAGCATGGTCCTATAATCCTATACTCACTCGGGAGGCTGAGGCAGAAGAAT